TCGTATTTGCGTTGGTAAAGCTGACCTTGAGTTCTACCCACACTGAAGTTCCTGTTTGTGTGCGCAATTCTTGTGCGCAGCTGTTAGCGTTCAATTGGTTTGTGTGCGCAATTCTTGTGCGCAGCTGTTAACGTTTAATTGGTTCCTCGGTGCTCGCCAAGTACTTCGGTGAGGGCCAACCAGTTTCCTCCTTTTTGCAAATAAACGGATACACTGTGGAAACTCTCACGGTCAGCTAACCCAAACACGTCTACGGTTTTCCTACTTAAACACGAAGGCGCGCTATAAAAGGAGCCTTAGGTCCCACTGGACCATTTGTCAATCAACCGTCGTGTGATGTAGAACTCTTAGAGTCAAGTCAGCTTGAGCTACAGCTACTCCAAAGCAGTGAACAGCGGGCGCATTCCTCAAAATTGTTTTATGTCTTCATCACAATACAAGAATTTTTGAGATTTGTATTTCCTTTCTCCAATGGAAACTGTCTTTATTTGTGGCGGTAAATTTGAGATCGAAGTAGGTGGTTCGCACGTTGCCTCATACCACCATACTGGTGGAAGTAAACAATAGATATCTCATTAGCTCATTTTGTTCGTCTACCAGAATTTAAATTTGAACTGCAACATCAACGGTGAGTGACAAATGAGCCCAGGTCTTCCCAGGGAAGATTTCCTTATATAGCGCGCCATCGTGTTAAAGACCTTGAGTGTCGGTCCGGCCGGGGCTTGAACCCTCGACCTCCCGCACAACAGTCCAGCGCTCTATCCATTGAGCTAACCGGGAGGCATTCGGCCCGAGGAACTCGCCCTAAACAAGAAAAACAACACTAAAATGTGAAAAAGTCGATTTTTTGTAACAATTACTTTCTGAAGTGACCAGTTAAAAGACTAAAAAAGAGCACAAGATAGAGCAGAAGACGTTTTTCCACAGCTAGATGGTAACTCTTAGAACGCCTTCCCTATCATATCTGTCTGGGTCGAGTATCCTCTTACACTCCATATTGGGGTGCCCCTTCCCCAGGGGACCCAGGGTCACGTTTAAGTCCGATTCGATCGCAACCTTGCACGTGCATAACTGGTCGTAGCAATAAGTCTAGCCACATGCAACTTTGCATACCAAGACTTTTAGCTTAGAGAGATTTATATTTGGTTAGAGTTATTATCCCAGCGAAGAAACCAAGGCTGATTTACATTTATACATTTCATGTCCTGTTAGAGTCCTGTAAAGTATCGTTATTCAGGGGGTTGATTTCCAACGGCGAGCGGGTCGATGTCATTATCTGAAAAACACGAACAACTTTAATGGGGCTAAATCTTCTGTAAGAGGACTTTCGTCGTAAAGATAAAATAACACAGAATTGAGTGGACTAATCATGCTTAATTTTCCTGTGAATCGACGGTTTTCGGGTCTTCGCTTTGCAAACATTCCCGTTTCATTAAAAACAGAAAGCAGTCATGTGTTATTTCATTGATAAACATATTAAAATTGGTTTCCTACATACTATACAAAACAGATACATTTCAGTTTCAGTGTATATTGAGATTTATGAGCACTTTCATTGTTTTTTAAAGTTTCAAATTGCATGATTTAATTGAGCAATTTGAAAAACTTTCAAAAGATCACACGCGCCCATAAATTAGGAAATACGCATGCGTTCGTGCGATTTGCAATACTTAACGTCATGACAAAGGAAAATTCGCCATAGTTTCAGTCCCTGATGAAGCTTTAAACAAATGTTTAAAACTTAGAACTGTTAGAAATTTGGCTAAACTTGATAAATTTCGCTGAACTGACAGGTGTCGAAAATATCCCATTTTTATGTGGTACCCTTAAAATTTTTAGGCTCCAGGTGTTTTTTCGCGATGAAAGTAAATAGATAGAAACGTGAATTATATCTCGTCTCACAATTGGTTATCGGCCGCGTACACTTTACGAGAAGCAAAAGAGCTATTGTATGGCGATTTCTTTTTGTGCGTCTTGAAACATCTCGCATACATTTTCGAACTTCGTCGTTAAAAGTGACTAGCAAGGATGTTTGTTGGCGGTTTTTAAAAAATATCTTTGTCACCTTTAGGTTTAATCTTGACTAATCTTGAAAAGAAGAGACATTATTCAAAGGACTTTACTAGCTTTTAATAATACTTTAGATTCTGCATGACGCAAGCCTGTTTACATTTCAATGTAAAGACGACACCTGATGCCCGTCTCAATATTATGCTGAGAAGATGGATGTGTTCGTAAAAACGTGACTTTCATGTCCAGCTTCTCTGCGTACGTGTATCCATCTTAGTCATAACTCGGAATATAATAAACATGTCGCACTTTGTTTTTAAAAATCCTTTGTTTTTTAATGCTTCCCTCACTCTCTCTTTTAAATATTATGCATAGAATGATAGCGTGAAAGTTTTTACATCAATTCAGTTTGAGAGATGAATATCCCAGAGTGGTATGTGGTACTTTGCACCGGCCAAGTTTGAATCTTCCAGTCACATGAGATTCGTCTTAAAAATTACAGCTGCTTCTTGATATTTTCTTTCACACACTTTTTCTTCGGCTGACGTCTAAGATCATTTGTACCAAATGGCCACCTTTTTTTAATTCAGCTATTAAGTGTTTAAAATTTTGAACAAAGAATATTTCACTATATGATAAACACACAGCAAAAATCTGTTTCAGTTAAAGCCTGGCCACGGCAGACATAAAAGATCTCGATCCTTAAAAGTGTTTTGACCGCTTGGAAAGCTCGCTATGCCAATGGATTTCTTGGCAGTTTCCAAGCTGTTCATAGCAGCGATTATGTGTGTTGGAGGAGTCATTTTGAGTATTTGCTTTTGCTGTTGCTTACTGGAAGATAAGCACATCCGTGTGAGTCCAGACTTCAGCAAGGAAATAATTAATCAGGCAGAATCAGAAGGTGAAGACCGCTATACAAACGTGATCGCCATCGATGTTGGTGAAGATCCTGTGCCAGAGAAAAAATCCTTTGAAAACGAATGGTGCTTTACTGTTGACGACTGAAAAACTAAGGATGGAAAAGGACAGTAAAAGGCTTGTGCACAAGATAACACATTCTGTTTCTTTGTTCCTATTTTTCTGATTTATGCACTGGAGTTAAGCATGTTACCAGAAGATTATCAAAGAATCGTAGACTTGAATCGCACAGAATGACGAACTGAAGAACTGCTTTCTTTGAAAAAATCCTCTCATTCTAAAATAATTTAGCAGTATTGCTATGCAAAAGATTTTTACTTATTTAATTACTAAATGTAAAAAAGGTGATGTAGACTGTTTATCCATGGAGTTCGTTCAGATTGTAAGCAAAAAATGTGTTTTTTTCCAAATAATTTATACTACATTACAAATAAAAAAAGTTGTGCTTGAAAATTGGTTTTCAGGTTAAATGACCAAAATTAGAAAAAAAACTTTTAAATCTAGATATGATCGACTTCCTACCATAAAAAAATATTTAAATCTGAATTAATGATTCTTTACTGCGCAAGTTGATTGCAGGCATCTAAGCCGGCGTAGATTGGCATAAAATTTTATTCGGAGAATCATTTGCTGCCTTTATCGTTTTATGAAATAGCTTCTTAGTTCGGAACTCGCGTGAAACAAAGTAAAAGAAAAGAGAAAGAAAAAGTGTCATCTCTTCCAACAACTAACGTTCTTTGGGAGATTAGTCTTCAAGAGTTCACCTTAAGCTATCATGAAAAGAGTGTTAGTATTGAAAAGAGAAAGAAAAATGAGCAGCAAATGCTTTTAACTACAGCTTTGACAGTTTGGTTTGACTGACATTTTTCATTCTCACACAGAACAAATCTAAAAACCGCGTAAAATCTTATTAATTTACTGTTTTCTCTCCGTTAAGGGAACTGCGAACACGAAATGCCAGCAGACAAAAATCGGCCTGAGTTTGTTTTTTTTTTTTACTAGCGGAAAAGGTGCAATTTTATCCATATTCAGGCAAGCGGAGGCTGTGTAGTTTCCGCTCGCAGCTGTTCTTTGGAGTTTCACACTGGTGGGAGCGTTGCCTGACCTGCCGACTGCGAAGAAGGCAAAGGCGCGCGCAAAGCGAGCACGGAGCGGAGCTGCGTGCGAGAAATGGAACCCTGCCTTTCTCGTTCTCCTCGCTTTCGACTCGCACAAAAGTTCAAACAATAAAGAAAAATAGGCAGTTTCGTTAATTTTACGACCTTTTTGTTTCAGATGTGTTTTCTAGGTATTATATTTCAAGAGCACGAACAACCCACAAAATTCACACAGTTTTCATGTTTAGTGAATTTGCCGAAAAAAAAAAAGGAGAGAAAATAAAAACGAAATAAAACTCCATTGTCTTGGCTTGCATATCGGAGTTGAAAATCAAATAGAAGCAAAAAACTCTTTAAGGATTTCAGGAACATCTTCCTCTTTATAATTCTTCACATGTACGTTTTCTCCAGTTGCTCCCCCAATCATAGCAGAAAGATCTGACAGGCAAGCAAAACAAAAAGTTTTTACTGGTCAACTATCATATATATATATGTAGATATATTTATTAAAAACTGGATCATTGGATAATGCAATTCAAGAATTTTTATTGGCTTAGCCATTATGGTATATGAGCCA